CAAATGGTTAGAGGATAATGTTCGGGTCAAACGGTAAAGGTCACTAATAATAAAAAAAATGTTTGGGTGTTACGTGCCCAAAACATGGTATGATTAGGTGCACTGCGTACGATAATCATTTTCGGGATTTCACGTTCCCAAATCACGATGGCATTATGAGTGGCGACGCCGTGACGGAGCAGTGCGAAAATTTTCGTCCCCCTAAACCTACATCACACGGGTCTCAAGCACTTTCGCCTCTGTCAAAAATGCGGCCGTCGCGACCGGGATTCGATCCCGCGACCTTCGGGCCTGCGCACCAGAATCACTATAGACCACCGCGGTGGGTACGGCATTGCGGGACTCAGTGCTAATTAGCACTAATTAGGACCACTTGGAGTGGCGCACCTAATTATATAGTATCTACGTAAGCAAGCGTTGTCGCATGCATCTGCGCTGGCCGGGAATGGAGCTTACGCTAAATAGCTTCGCCACGATGAGCCAACAAACTGATTAGGACGGTGCGCAAGCGTAATAACAAACGACATCGCATCAAAGTCCCGAAAACATACAACACTGAACCCTTATCAGCTTCGCCAAGAAGCGAAATATTCGACGCATTAATTCACTTTGTGGCTATTGTGCATATATGACAGTATATAAAACTCACGGACTGACGCGTGACATTGGAACATTTAGCATAATGCCCGATATGCGCAATCGTCCGAGATAACCGCGCCATGTAGGTATACAATCATGCATGGCTGCTTAAGGTACTGTTTGTCCTAATGTAGGTATTCGAAACGAAATTACGCCGATATGGCATGAACAGAAGAATGTCAAACTAAAAGTACCTACATTACTTAGCCCTGAATCGGCGCGTTTCAATCTATGTAATCACTAGCTTTAAACGTAAAATTAATCACTGCATTGCAAGTATGTCTATACGGCGTGCGAAGAAAGCAGACTTATGGACGAGGGGAGCATCTCGAGCCCGTATTTCCCCCTCCCCCCCCGCACCCCCCGCCCCGAAATTTCTTTTCGCCATGGCATACAGAGCGAAAAATGACCACTTCAAGGAGTGCTCCCCCTCCCGAAATTAAGAACCAGTGCGTTATGAACCCCGCGCTGTCTTGGATCCAGCGACAAGAAGATACTCACGCGACTTCTCTGAATGCAACGACATCTCAGAAGGCGCTGAAGACTTCGCCTCAGCGTCTCGCTCGAAGGAAAATGGTTCTCAAAAAAAAAAAAAAATACCGACACCGCGAGATCGACAACCAGGATGCGATGATGATGATGATGATGAACCTTCGGCTTTGCTGGCACTCGCCCACAAAGGGGGATTGGCCAAGAACCGGGCGGCAGGATCATCAAGTGCGTTCAGTCAGGCATTCAGGTAGTCTTGTAGCCGTAAATAATAAGAATAGGCTAACAGGGTAATCTCTTTGTTGCCCTTATGTACTCGCACACAGCAGAGAAAACCTCCCTGTGGCTATAACCTAACGTAATCCCTCCGAAGGATAAAATTAGTTCCACGTTTATTTTAAAACCTAGCTTCTCAATTGGTTCAGGATGCGATGCGTTGCCCGAAAGGAGCTCGAGCACCCGTGCCGACGTTCGGTTGCTAGCTTGAACATTTCTCCTTGGCTCATACCCACTACATGTAGGGTGTTGGCGATAACACCTGCAGTAAGGACACGGAATAATTTGGCCGCCTATAGGCGGTTAAATAAGGAAGTTGCCGCCTTAGGAAGTCATCCTATAAGGGAGCAGTGGTGATTTTCGACTATCCTCCAGCCATTCAACGAAAAAGAGAAGTTTGCAGTCATACGTATCTTATCTACATGACGTGTCCCGCCGTATCGAGAAACCACCTCACGCGCCAGCGTCAGCGTCTTTTATTTCGGCACCCATGAAACTTGGTTCGCTGTGCAAAAGAGTGAACGACACAAGTCCCGCAAATCATGAGTGCAAATAAAAAGAAAAACAAAAAAAAAACACGCGTCAAATGTTTTGTCCCGTGCAAGGTTAGTGTGATGTTCTACGAGGTTCCCAGATCCTGCGGCAGCATGCATCTACATTGGACAGACAATATAGTCGCTGAGCGACCGATTGCTCGGGTAAACACGTTAACAACATTATAACTAAAACAGGCAGAAATTTGACAATAGATTGTGCCGAATGTGGACTTCAGTTAGACGTGCATATTGCGCCCGTCCTGATATAACCATGCCTGCGAAATATTTATGAAGCCTTAATCCGCCATCCATGTTGCAGGTCATTCGTGTATCAGCTCCCGATGTATCACAACAACAGATATTGATATTAACTATATCTGCAGTTGAGAGTTTCACACTTCTACGACTAGTCGCGATATGTGATATGTGCTGGGAAAATCTTCTCCCTGGCCCGAGTTTCCGCCTTTCAAGAGCGCGCACATATTTATGCTGCAAACATAAACGCAGTTGTTAACATCGTTTAGCCCTAATCCTCGCCTTTGCTGTTTCCAAGCTGTTTTTTTTTTTTTTTCACTATGTGTTTGGCCAGCTGTCCCCACGTGGGTGCAGCCCGCGGTGTTCACCCTAGGAACAAAGTTTCCCAAATATACACTAGAGGGATCGTTGCACCAGTGTGTCCCCTTTAGTTAATTTTTGAAAACTATATGCCTAAGAGGTGACACTTCTAAGACAGAAAAATGAGGGGAACAAAAGCATAAAAGATAGGCAGACAAAGATAAGGATAGAAAGATAGAGAAATAGACAGATAGAGGTGAACAAGCGCACTGTGTGGCCAAAGAGGGCGGGCAAAAAAAAACAAAAAAAAAACATCTCACGCTCTGCGTAGTGGTGAAGCCCACATCTTGCAATCTTACGTCGTCGTAGCGCAAAATTGCCGTCATTGCCGTCAAATGCCGTCATTTCCCTTATTTTTTGTTCGCAACTACTAGAAACGGGCAGAACGATTTTCCCGCAGTGTGTGTAGTGATGAAGCCCACTTCCTTCAATGTCTTACGTTATTTTGGCACGAATTTTCTATAATTTTCTGCGTTACATCTCCTACTTTTTGTTCCAAAGTGTAAAAAAAAAAGAAGGTACAGAAAGGGTTTTACCATGGCGTGTTAGTGAAAATAAAATATTTGTGGCGCAACTAATACGAGCAAAAAAAGAAAAGAAGAAGACACGAGTCGGGGAGTGAAGCTCACTTCTTGCAGTGAATTACACCGTCGTGGCGCTAAATTTAAAACGCATTACGTCATTTATCTTAACATTATTTTTTTTTACTCCGAAGTGCTATAAACAGGCAAAAAACAATTTCCCACGGCCTGTGTAGTGATGAAGCTAACCTCCTGGATGTATTGCATTGCGGAGAGGCGAATACGCTTACACCAGGAGTGCAGGTATCATGGCGACGATATATGAGTCAAGTAGGAGCTGTTGCACTCTAAACCTAGAACTGTTTTGCTGCTAAGAAAAGCGCAAATGCTATGCGCTAAAAATTGTGTCACCGCGTTTTTTTTTTTAATGAGCCATATTACGTATTACCAAAATGCATCTGATCTCCCAATGTCACCACGTTGGCTCCACGAAACCGCAAGACACTGAGAGAAGTAATTGGTTTCACCAGGACACAGACTGTGGGAAACTATTTTTGCCAGTTTTTTGGTACCTTCAGACGAAAGATGAGGAAAACAGCATGATAAATATCAAGTTTCCCGCCTACGCGCCCGCTCTTTTCATATTTTTGCTCAGCAAGATATTACGAGGTTGGTTAAGCCACGACAAAGGTGCTTGAAAATATTTTTGCTCCTTTGGAGTTGTGGACGTTGCCAGAAACTGGCTAGATTTACCCAGGATCCGTGTCGTAGCGAAGCACTTCTCTTGCAATTTCTCTCATCGTGGTGAAGCCAACACAATGTGATGCAATCTGGTGTTACTTTAATAAGGGCGCATTTACAACTTTTCTTCAAGTATTTGTGAGCAGAGTGAGACACTACTTTCCTTGCTTTACTTCGCGCCTCACGTAATATATTCACGAGCAAGTTTGAGGGTAAAGTGAGGTTTTTGTTGAGACAGTCAACGTGAACGAAGGAGTGTACGGCAGATAAATTTTATTTTTAGCTGTTGCAAACAGCATTGGCTCGGGCATCTGGAACTGTTACTACAAGCCACAGGACACGGCTCGCATATGCACAGTCATTGCACGGCCGATTACGCTGTGTACAGTGCTATCCTGCATCCACACAACTGCTCTCACATTACATGCATGCAGGTGTGATGGCGACAATACGTATGACGGAAGGCGAGGAAGGCTAGCCAGTTGTCCGACTGGCTGGCTACTCTATGCGTTAATAGAGAGTAATAGCTCAGCAATCGAGCGGGCTAGCATACCCAGGGGAGGAGCGGAAGGGCCAGCAGAGCACTAGACAAAAGGAAGAGTAATGGCCAAGCGAATACTCAGCTTGTTTTGGAGACAGCCGAGCGCATTGCTGCACCACATGTTGAACACGGTTGAAGTTACTGTCGATGGAACACAAGTTTTGCCCAGAGAACACTCGCACGCTGGTCTGCTGTGCACACTCCGCAGAGGGGACAAAATGAGCGGGCGAGCGGCTCTCTCCGTAAAATCGCTGGCTCGCTCAGCGTGCCATGCATGTGCAGTTTGAGTCTCCACTCCTTTGTTTGGCCCACTGAGCTGCTCAGCCATTACTTTCTAATGAACATGCCTCATGTCTCAAGCATGTGTGCATACGACGTAATGATAATGCAGTCTTCTTGCCGATTCTCACTGGTACGGTATTGCGAGGCCTCGGCCATGTTTTCTCCGAGGTTTCCTACTAGGTCAGCACTTCCATTCATGCATCATGCCACAGCTTTTGCACGCGATAGTTTATGACCAGATAACGATGGTACTTTGGTAATTCAATGACTAGATGGCACGGTTAACGATCCAACACACAGATTGCTAATGAATGAACCCATAACTGGGTCCACAAAACATTCCAGTCTCTCGCAACGAAGTGTCCAGAAAATGCCAAAGGTTTTGTATTTTTTTATTGGGCGCCACTTTCACGCCAGTTCTTTCACAAGAGCATTTATGACAACAATTGAAAAATGAATGCGATTTGGTCAACACTATTACTGTTGAGTGCTACAAAACAAAAACAGCAACTGAACAAGAAACTTGCAACAGACATATCCCCTTATTCATCACTGCATCAGCAATTTACACAATGCACAGATATTAAACCCACCAAGACCCAACATTTACAGATTGCGCATGTTACATATAATGCGTCGACACCGGCTTGTACTTTTGTTAGGCTAGCTGGTGTTAGTGCTAGCTTGTTTCGTTTCATTTTCTTCGTGACAACTTATAATCACTGGCTAATGTAATAAGCATATCTTCATATGTACACACACTGTAATAACTGGCAGAGAAATTTCAGTGCCTGCAGAGCTAGAGCTGGCAAAAGAATATGAATCTGCATCAAGAAAGCACACTTGCCTTCTAATTTACCAACATCAATTAAGCAAACAGAAATGCCTATACCGGTCAATTAACATTTACACCTGGAACACTGCAGCAACATACCCCTACTGAAATCAGGATAGCAATTTGATCAAGCTGGTTTGCGCAAAATGCACACCAAGGTGTCCAACCTCCGTGTTCAGAAATGCACCTAGACTTGAACTCGACTTGGCACCACCTTTAATGCAGCACAAACCCGTTTGTGCCTTCAATGCGGCAGAAGGCGCTCGCAAGTCAAGGAGAGTTTCTGAATACGAGGGTTAGTGTACGAGATTAGGTGCATAGTTGCACAGAAACTGTAAAATGGGACAGTTTGTACCTTTCTGCAGCAACCACACAACCAACTCTAACCCCTTGGTGCTTTTTGCTGCATTCATGCCAATGCCAGCTTCATCATGCCATAAAATTTCTTAACGAGCAACTCATGTGGACACAGCTAGTGGTGGTAAATGTGATGGTGCGACCAGCACCACCAAACGATAAAGTGAACAGGGAAAACATCACGTATTCCAAAACCAGTACTTGATTACTCTTGCATATTAGTCGCACAAGTTTACAAACCTACAATGTTGTACAAACTCGAGTGTGCCATCCGACTTTTCTTCGAACTGTGAGAATTTCGATTTGAAATGAAGATCTGTAGCCAAATACTCTATTGAAATGCACTTGCATCATGCCCAACGCATTTACTCACGTTACCAGCACAATTTCTAGAAGATTAATTAGTATTCATTATTGAGCCACTGAGGGGTGAATGACTCTGTATGAATGAAGCTGACTCGAGGGCAAGGCCTGCCATAAACTAAAGCCGGGAAGCAGTACTACCAAAAGGGTGCTTATAGAGCTCGCGCCGGTCAACTGTTTTACAAACGTTTTACAAACAAACTATAAAAAAAAAACTGCAGAATCAATTATCTTTATTCAGCCTAAAGAAAACATGCGACACGCTTTCATGCTTTACTTAGTACAGGTAAAAAATATATACACAATAAAAGGTTTAATTACTCCGAGACCGGGCACATTTGTGTAATTTGCTTAAAGATGGAAATGTGAGCAGTCTTGAAGAGCATAAAGAAATGCTGCAAATCATTTAAATTATGACATTACTGTGCTTGATTTAGTCGAAGCTAGTGGTCAATGTAAGCGAATAGAAACTATTGAAATAGAACCCAAAATGTGGCTCTCGAAGAGGTCAGCTGCCTGAAGTGCAGACCGATTCTTCCTGCAGATCACTGTACACATTTGACCATGGCATAGGGTACTGCAGACAACTTTAAGGATCCCCATCGTGAACACAACAGTGTGCTTCAAGAGGTGCCTTCATTCAGGCCAATGCGCCAAACAGTTTCCGCAAGATCTGCAGCATAAAGCAATTGCATCTACAGTGTACTGCTCCATTACCAGCTTCAGTTGCCAATTGCACTTCCCAAATTAGCTCAGCGAATGGGCTGAACTAAAGAAGATCGACGCTACTGGCACGCTTCGATAAAATTCTGTGGGCATAGAAACGAAAACGTCACGGGGTAAATGAGCACTTTTAAAACAGTTTTCATAATGTCAGCGGTAAAATCGGTGTAGTCCGGGGGAGTTTTGTTTGCACCAGGATAAATAAAAAAGTCTTGCATGGTCACAAGTAAAGTTGAGGATATGAGGGAAAGCACTTGCGTAGAACAGAATATTTTTGCATAGTTGTACTTATCGGTCAGCGATGTGCCACACGTAAGGCAATCGAAATTTTTCAGCTGTTAAGCAGAACGAATCATAAATAAAAAGGTTTTTGAGACATTACGAAAGCTCACAGCATCAATCAATGGCACACTCGGCGCGGCATTTACGTTCAGTGTGTGGCTTTGTGCTACATCACATGTTTAAATAGGGCAGTTCGCGAGGGCAGTAAACGGACTTTTTACAAAGCCGAATGCCCCAGTGGTATACGCTGAATTCAAGGACTGGCAAGTGTCCCGGCCTGCAGCTGTCCCTGCGGCAAGGGTCTACAAACTTTGCAGACCCGGCTCTGCCCCGCTTTAGCCCGGCATTCACGCACGGGCATTCTACATTCACGGTTCATGTCTCGGACTTCTCAGCGCATGTTTGCAAAGAGACTGAGTGCTGACCGCGCTTCGCGTTGCGAACGAGCTTTGCTGAACACGTTCCAGAACCGTAACGTCTCGTCGCCCGCGCCCGTAACGACGCTCTCGCCGTCGGGAGAGACGGCGAGGTAGAGCACTCGGTACGAGTGGCCAGTCAGCTTGGCGACTTGCGCCAGAGACGGGTACTTCCAGACGAGGATCTGATTCTGGGAATAGCCGTGAGTGCTGACGAGCTCCGATGCGTGCTTGGACCATGCCAAGTTGCACACCTGCAAGAATGAAAATAGTTTCTCCTTTAAAGTACTCCATATGCAAGTAATATGTACGTCTTATTTATTATGTGTGCAAGTCCCGAAATACGCAATACAGTTAAACCTGCTTATAACGAATCTCAATATAAATAATTCCTGGATATAATGAAGTTTTTCTATTCCCCGCCGTCGCTCCATAGGAGCACATGCATTTGCGACCTCTATGTAACAAAGTAACTTCGGGAGACAACCTTGATGTAACGAATTTTCCTCACAGACAATCTTGGAATTATGCTCCCCATTTCGGCATTTTGGTACGAGCATGCATCTTCCGCCGCTGCCCCGCCGTCGTCGAAGCGGTGGCGGCGGGCACGGGGGGTCTGCGTTCACCTGAGGCGAGCCCGCACCTTATGAGCAGGCGTTGCCCCCTTTCTCGCCACCGCGGTCGCATGCGAGGGTGTGCCCCCCCCCCCCACTCCAAACCAAAATAATAAAAAAATTACTTTTGCGCGTTGGCAATGCCACGCTTTTAGTTAGCCTCACATATGTGGGGCCGCGCTGCATATGGAGGGCGCTTTACCGAATGGTTTCCACGGTAACCGTGTCTGTGTCCATGTCATTCGTTCTTCTTTTTCGGCGGCAAGGGTCGGCGGCAAGGGCGCGTGCATAGTTTCACTGCACACGCATGGTTTGTCCCCCGACTATGTTCAGCTTTGTTTTTTTTTTATTGCGATCTCAATTATGTATGTGGGCAGTTTTAGCTGGGTTTTTGCCACTGCCACCTTCATTCACCGTATATGTATAGTATATGCATATGTACCTATACATATGGAAACTCGAGAAAAAAAAGCCGACCGCGCTTGGCACTCAGATTGCCATGATGTGCCGACGGGAGCTTATCTCTAACGCGTACTTTCCCCACGAATGCGGGTGGGGAGACGGGGGTTAGATGCTTGCGCGCGCGCTTATCCTTTGGTGGGGAGAATCACGCCTTCGACTGACCAGAATGATTGCATTTGCTCTTTTCACACAGTCCCTTCGCGTTGAAACTGCAGTGATACTCGCCGAGATAGCAAGCGCCAGCGTTCACGACCACCCTTAAAATCCAAGTTCATTATTGCTACTCGAGCAATTCCCCCCCTTCCCCACATTGTTTCATGCTAGTTTAAGACAGGTGGTTTACTTTCTGTTTGAGCTTTCGATGGCAGTTCTAACATGCGGGAGATGTTATGGACTTTTCAGGCGATAGGAATGAGCAGACTCATGCGATCTCTGCTTCAGTAGCGCTCGAGCGCTGTTACCCGCTTGTGAGAATTACAATACGTGGGGGCATGTTGTCAATTTGGACTTCTTGCGGAACACGGCGGCGATAGCAAGAACCCGCCGAGAGTGCCTTATAATTGCTATCGCAATAATAACGCAGTTTTTTACTGTAAAATGAGTGTTTGGGATTAGCTCTGCCTTCAGTGCTCCTTCTGTTTAATTTGCGTGTTTATTTTCGGAATTTTCGTACCAAATCTGCATATAACGAAAACCCCTTTAGAATTACTTTTCCTGGGAAATTAATAATTCCGTTATATCTAGGTTTAACTGTATAAGGAAATAAGGGAGTGTAGCATGAAATACGAAATCTACATAGATTCACAAATTATTTTTTGGGAACTCTACTGTACTTGGCTTTGTCACGCCAGACTGCAAGACAGCTATAAAAAATATCGAGTTGCTATAAAGTGATTCAGAGTTTCACTTTCGTGTCCCTCCAAAATCTCCAAATCACCTGTGATCCGGTGTCCACGCACTGCATGGGCTGCCCCGTGAGCGTGTTCCAGAAACGGATGCAGCGGTCAGCGGTGCCTCCGCCGCTGGCGAGCAGGCCGTGCTGGTGTGGGGACCAGGCGATGGCCTTGACGGCCGCCACGTGCTCCGTGTAGCTCTGCACGGGGGCGCTGCTGCTCAGGTTCCACACCAGCAGCTTGTTGTCGTTGCCACCCGACGCCAGGTGCTGATTGTCGGGAGACCACTTGAGCCCACACACTTCCTGCCTGTGGCCCTGAACGCGCCAGACATGATGACCACATCAAAGGAGTGCCGACACCAAAACTTTCAGGTGTCTTTCTTACGCATTAAATGAAGGATCAATTTCTCAGGAGCCTAGAAAACGTACTCGTAGTACAAGTGCACCCAAAAAAAAAAAAACGAACTTTTGACGGGCTGCTGAAAGCTAGTACCGATTCCCATTGTACCCCGACGTCTCGTCATGAGCTCACAGAAGATGTCGCAGCATTTCCAAGGCTGCTAAGCCGTGTGGTTACTATGGCCACACACAAGAGGCTATTTTGAATGTTTTCGGCGAGCTGCAAAGCGGGTATCTTGAATGTTCTGGTACCTGACGTCACCACAAGTACCCATAATGGTGCATAAAGTTACCAGAATAGAATCGGCCCGATGTCACTCTCGTGTGGATGTCTGTAGTAGACGTGCCATACAAACATTGCCTTCATTGTCGGAATAAAATGGTATCTAGTCGGCACTTACTGAGCTTTACGCTTACTAAAAGCAGTCCCTGTATATGGAAGATTTACAAGACTGAAAAAATTCACGTTCGAAAATTGGTGTCAGTACCCCTGTAATGGTGCATGTGACAAGTCAGCCCAAAAGTCACATCTTCAAAGTTATTTTCGTGGTCGCGGGCCCTTCTGCGCAAATGTCAAATTTCGACTCTGCCATTAAGTGTATTTTTTAAATTTAAAAACACACAAAAGCAGCGACTACTACATTGCAATCCACTTATCATATTTAAAATTGAGCGAGTCATCTTCGATGCTGGTCAACCCGCTAAAATTGCAAAAAACAAAACAAAAAAGAAGCAGGGCGGGGGGAGAGCAGGAGCACATTTCATAAAAAAAAAAAAGAACTGTTTATCATGTTTCCAAAGAAATTGAAGTTGACGGTGGATTCCCGGCACTGCTTTAAAGCTGAGCAGAAATGTTACACGGGGTCATTTTCCGAAAGACTTTTTACAACTGAAACTAGTTTTCGAATTGCGGTTGAACCCCCAAATTAGGATTTGAAATTAAGCCAAATAAAGCTGACCTACACTTAATTAATTACAGTAAAACGAGGTGCAAGTGCCATAAAAATCTCATCGTTATAACTGCTAATTGTTATAAGTGGGTTTATAGAAGAAAAAAGACAAAAGAGAGATGAAAATCTTTCATTTGCATGCAAATAAGGTAGTGCAACTACACACTACTTGTTTGCAGAAAAGGCACAGTCTGTCAGTTCTGATCGCCTCACGCAACGCTGGCACGCATCATTCAGAAGAGCATCTATGTGCTCCACATAGCTGAGTGGGAGGTCCTTCGCAATAACACGGTCCTGGAGGAAGTGTGCCACCTGCTGGGCCTCCTGCGATGACAGTGCGTTGGCAGGCTGCTTAACCGTGTCATCAGAGTCGTCGCTCTAACCACTATCCACTATCCACTGTGTGGTGTGGAGACCGTCTCACTTGCAGCAGGCACTGCAGCCGGATTCAATCGCTAAATCCAGTACCGTGGCACTACAGCATCATAACAAGCGGTTCATTTTACCTGAAAAAGCATACAAAAGTGGATGATGCCATCGTTGTTCATTGTTATATCCCATAAATTGGAATAAATGATATAGTTGTCAGTGGACTTGACTGTACACACCCACACGGACCTTTAAATGGAAGTCTGAAGTATTTGACCGTCTGCTACCAGCAGATCACAAACAGCACACTATACCAGCTCCACCGCATTAGCAGCTTGCATTTTAAGCACTTGGAGTTTTTTTTTGTTCTTGTTTCTTTCTTTTCAGTGCATCTGCTGTGAAATGTATACGAAAAGTTGCCACTGTTTTAGCCTTTGTCAAACAGCGCGACATATATGTCCTACTGTATTAATGAAAATAAAGGCAAGAAATAGAGGGAGAAAGAGAAAGAAAAAGAAACGGACACAAAAAAGAGAGCCAACATAGCCTTGTACAGTCGAACCCCTATATAAGAGACACTGATTTAAAGGGCCCCTGAAATGGTTTTTTCACATTCTGTTTTTGATAAGACCACTACTGGAGTGAATCAATGGCACCAGAGTTCAATCAAAACACCCATTATCAATGGAGCTACAAGTACTAAAAAAGTACCCTCCTCCACCGCTTTGCTTTTCACCCTCAACTGCCCTCAACTCTTCCTTCGAGCGCTCGGGGCTAAACTCTGCCTTCACGGCGCCTATGTCACGATGTGGCGTGAGACCGCATACGCCTTACAACTGCCTTAAAACACCTGGAACAAAGAAAAAAACGCCTTTATCGCTCCGCCAGGAAAACTGGGCGTACTTGTGCATGGGATAAATATTATGAAGCATAAAAAAACTACCTGCACGCATTACGTCAAGCTAAACACACATTTTACAATGCCAACCTACCAAACCTATTAGTTACAAATCCAAGGCAATTTTGGAAAGTTGTAAACCCTAGTGACACTCAGGCCATTCAAATAACGAACGAATCCAACGAAATTCTTAAGGATGCCGATTGCGCCAACGTGTTCAACTCCGCTTTTGCAAGCGTCTTTACTCATGAGTCAAACGCACATCCCGCTTCATTATCGTTTTGTATAAGTTCTGAAATGCCAGCCATCACTTTTAATGTAAGCGGAATTAGCGCTATCATTGACAAAATGAAGTGTACATGCTCCTCTGGTATAGATGAAATTAATGCGAAAATTTTGAAAAACACGAAGTGCATTGTCCCAGCCTATTTATCCTTGCTGTTCACCCAGTCTCTTTCCTTAGGTCTTATTCCAGATGACTGGAGGGTTGGGAAGGTCGTTCCAGTCCATAAATCAGGTAACAAAGACTCCCCGCTAAACTACCGTCCCATCTCATTAATGAGCATTCCTTGTAAAATCATGGAACATGTCATCTATTCTCTTATCATGAAGTTTCTTGACTCGAACAACTTTTTTCATCCCGCTCAACATGGGTTTCGCAAGGGTTTATCTTGTGAAACGCTAGGTTTCCTGAGGGGTAATCTTCGTCAGGCCCCAAAACATGTCAAATCGGTCGCTTACCGATCCCTCGTGAGACAAAAACTGGAGTATGCATCAGCCATCTGGAACCCACATCAATCATATCTTATTGACCTACTTGAAGCTGTTCAAAATCGCGCTACCGGATTCATTCACTCAAAATACTCGTACAATATCAGCATTTCAGAACTTAAGGCAGATTCCGGTTTAACTAAGCTTTGTGATCGTCGACGTATTTCCAGTCTCATGCTATTTCACAAGTTCTTTCACGGCACCCTCAGTCAAGCGCCATACATCGTACCCGCTGCACGCATTTCTCACCGCACCAGTCATCCGCAGCAGGTCGTGCGCCCACGTGACCGAACTGCTCACTTCTCCGCCTCGTTCATCCCCCGAACTGCCATAGACTGGAACGGCCTTCCTGCTGACATTGCCGCCATCACCTGCCCATCATTGTTTCAGCAGCATATAACTAATCAATATGAAATGTCTATGTGAGAAGTTGTAACCCAACCCTTATGTAATGCTTCCTTCAGGAAGCCCTTAAGGTTAATAAACTGAACTGAACTGAACGCGCAAATCCCCGCTGCCAATCCGATACCGGCAGTCTGTGCTGCGCGTTTCACAGCCAATAAGATCAGCTGGAAATGATGACATCAGTGGGGCAGAGCGTGTGCTTGGTTATGAGCGGTTGAAAACGCGTTTGGCCGAGTCGCAGCCATCTGCAATAATCTGGAGCAATTCGCAGCTTTAAAGCGTTGTAATAAATTACCCAGTTCACGCAGAAAGCTCAAATCGGTCTCTAAATTGCCCTTTGGACTTGGTCTACCGGACCAAAGCCTTTTTAAAAAATCGTCAAAACTGTTTCAGGGTTTCTTTAGGAGACAAATGGGTATAACAGACACCAGGGTGCCAACAGTAAAGTACAGGTTGGAAAAAAGGTGCATGCATTGTACCCTGCAATGTACCCTTATGGACTGTACCAATGGTATGGCCTTCAATAATACAATATAACGATGAATGGGAATAGGAAGAGAGCTTGAGGAGCAAAAGGAGGAGGGCAACACCACCTGCAGCACTGCTTTCTCAGTCTTCACACGACTAGCGCGCAGTCACCCCAATTTTTTTTTTGTTACGCTCATTGCTGACGAAGCACTTGATGTCTCGATGACTAATCTTCCTCCTCGATTCTTTTTTTTTTCCAGTGCAAGCCAGATGCACCTGATCCGGCCATTCGAAACCCTCTCATCTAGCCCTTTCCTGCCCTCGCCAGTTGCCTAGCCTTGGCGTGTACTTGGGGAGAGAACCAATTATGTTGTGCTTCGCGGTTTTACAAATATTGGCGGTTTTACATCCCAACACCACGGTACGATTATGAGAGAGAGAGACTGTAGTGGAGGGCTCTGGGAATTTCGACCATCTGGCGTTCTTTACCTGCGCCGACACCCCACAGCACACGAGCTTCAACCATTTCCCCTCCACCGAAAAGCGCCGCCGTGTCCAAACCCGCCACCAGGACTGAACCCGCCACTGTCAGCTCAGAAGCCGAGCACCTTAACCACTGCTCCACTGCGGTGGATCTTTATTCAGTGCTTCACAGACGGAAACCATATGCAGTAACTTTTTGTTCAGCTGCATACAGATCTGCGGGGCGGCGCCTTGCATTCTTCATGTTCACAATAGTGGCAATAACGCTAAGAAATACGGTGTTTAGAGAGTGCGTGTGATTGTTCCTGGCGCTATGCAGGCAACCAACAAAAAAGTGTCGCTGCAACGCTGCTGCATCTGCAGACTTTAAGGGCGGACCTGCCTTTGGGAAACAACTTTCTTGTTCCTGGTTGGATTTGATGAAAATTGGCACAGGCACTACAAATGGCCTCGCAGTGCTTCCATAAAAACTTCGAGGTGATATTACAAAAACTGGATGAGAGACAAATTATTTCTTCATTGAACCTCATGAAGGATTTATAAAATGACAGAGAGTGATTACTGTATGCACAGCCAAATGTATGCTGAAGGGGGCTGCCTTTTCAAAATAGTTTTTTAAACACTAAAACTAGGGTCATTCCATGCCAAATCATCCAGCCTTTTTCAGACCATCACGAATATGACAGGAAAAATTTCCACATGTTTCTCGAAGTTCGAAACCCGCCCTGATCGTTTAATTCCGTTGCCCAGAAATTTGCTCCCTTTTATAAGGGTCTAAAGTTATGTGCCTATTGAGCTAGAGGGCGTCAAACAACAATTTTTTTTTTCAAAAGACCTTTTTCAAATGCACTCAATATTAGGGTATGCATAACATGGCGGATGCGGCCAATCGAAGGCCTCACAACGTCTCTCGAATATTTGCTTTTCACAGAGTTATTTCTAAATGGAGGAGCGAGCAAAAACAGGGAATTCGAAGATCGGAAAAATGCTCTTTCCAATGAGCCCCAGAAGTCGGCTCCCAGCCGCACCATCGCCAAGCTATAACTTTTTGAAAATCACTGCTTTCTTGCCATTTCCAGAATTATTTTTGCTACCTACCTAGAAAGGCAAAACAAATTTTTAGAAGCACCTCAGCTTCAGATTTTCAGTGTACATATTTTGGAATCTGATAGAAAAAGGGTTCCAGAAACTGAAAACTTGAATTTCAAAAACAAAAACATTTTTTTCTCTTCATTTTTTTTACGAAGAAGCCGCGACACCCATAAAGAAAGCAGTGAGGGAGGCGGCAGCGGCCTTGCTTTGAGCAGCAAAGAAGGGGCATGAAGAAACAGATCTGACAGACACACGATGTTGAAGAGGGAAACGCATCTGTCGCATCTGCGTGGTAAAGCCCTCGGACGCAGGTGTGACGCAAGCAGCCCTACCCTATATGTGGCATCGCATCCAGACCGCTCCCTGAACTTAGGCGGACCGACGACTCCCGTTGAAAAACGCACATTTGCACTGGCTTTGAAAGAATTACAGGAGGTGTTGAGCATAGAGTCTCTGGAAACACTCACCACCTGACCATGACTGTCACTTCACGCCGGTGATACTGGTGCTCCACAAGCAAGAAAGAAGTGCATACGCAGTACATGTGCATTGTCCATAACGTTAAAGGCACACTAAAGTCAACTATTAAGTCAATGTCGATTATTGAAATGGCGGTCCAGAAACCTCATAGTGTTACTTTTGTGCCACGAAAGGGCATATTTTGAAATAAAATTACGTTTTAGTGGTCCGCATCGAGTTAGTGTGATTCAACTTACCCGCCTCTAAAAGCAAACCAACTGGTCCTTCTCACGTCACTGTTTCCGTGCACAACGTTGCCCGGTTTTACTGCGCTAGTAGCAGCATACCGAAAGCAGTGGGAGCCACATCAGCAGAAACAGCCATTGATCAATTTTCCTCCATAGGCTCCGAGATCGCATATGCTTTTGTTTCAACTGCACCCCACTAGATGGCACCACCTGTCCCGCGTAACCACGCAAAAATTGAATTTTTGAACCACTCGCACCATTTCCCATAGTAACGTCCGGTGGTTCTTTTTTATATGAATCAAACAGAATTGAACAAGCAGCATTTTATTGCATCTATTGATGCACGGAAAGTTCTTTATTTAATGAAGTTATGTTAATTAATAGATTACTAGCAATTAATTGTAGGCAGTCCTTCTGATGTCATCGGTATCATTTTGAAAATGCCCTACTGCGGCGCTTGTGTTCTTGCGCATTTACCTTAATTTCTCGGTAAGTAGGGCACTGTTGATAATATTGTCGTTTTAGGTGTTGTTATACATTGAGCTTTCACTCCGACGTAAATTGTTATTTGACTTTAGTGCCCCTTTAAGCTACGGGGGCATTGCTTTATAACATTTCGCAAGAAAATGTACAGTGCCTTAATCTTACAGCGGGGCATATGAATTCAACTCTTCTTTTTTTATTTGGCAATAAAATATTTCTCGATTTTCAAATCGACTTTCTTTGAAACAAGAAGTGATCAACAACTCACGAAAGATGTGTTTAACAGAACGACATTTGTTGTCTCATTGCGCTCACCGAAGGGGTTAATAGCCAAGACTAAGCACCAAGCAGCTCACCTGCAGTCGCCGCTCAGGTGCACCCCCCGAAGGTGTCCGGGCATCCCGCTGAAGAATCAAGCGGTCTCGCGAGCCTGAGGACAGTACATCTCCATTCCACGCCAGTGCACCCACACGTGCAGAGTGGCCCTGAGGGGCATTGTTAAGCAATGCTTCTGTCACGAATCTTCAACAATAGAACAGTGCAGCTACAGAACTACGCATTCAAATGGCCAAACATCAATGTAATCAATATGGACATTACGTATTGCCACATACATACGACTCGTGTTAATTCAACTTGGTTAATTCAATGTTCCGGTCGATTCGACGTCGGCAGAAACTCCTGGCTGGCGCTTGTACGCTCCTTTGGGATAAAAGTTTTGTTATTTCAATACCGATACTAACCATGGCCGAAAAACTAGAACTTCGTTAGTCATCTCACCTGTGCCCGACCATTAATGCAGTGATCGTTCCAAAAGTAAGCAGCTTTGGATTTCACAAATTTAGCAAATAGGAAATATGCTGAACACTGTCATCGCAAACGTTACAAGTTTCATCCTTTTTTTAATTGCCATAATTACATGAAGGCTATGTTTTTCTTGTGCACAAACTAAATGGTTACTCAACAAGCTTCAACATCCTTATTACACAGTCTGCTTTGAAAACACTATGGAGAGATGGTGTGCTAGATTTGGAGTAATGTTAAAAATGGGAAAAATGCGGTCAGTTGAGTCAACCATGCTTTAACATTTTATTTTACCCTCAATCCAGTTCGCACCAGAACATTTGATAAATATCGTCAGTAGTGTTAAGCACCCATTAACGAAAATTTACTGTACTGAAGAACTATAGCCAGCTGAAGGGGGCCTTCCTCCTGCAGCGGACATCTATAGGATGATGATGAATTACTAAGCTGGTGCAAATGTTCGAGTACTTCTAATATTCACAACATTGCAGCATTGAAATTAACTTGCATTCGAACTTAAATTATTGTAAATTTTGAAATATTTGAAATAGACGAACAGGTGTACATCAGTGCACCCGTAATCCACTGGTTTATGTGGTTCCACTGCAGCAGCGGGGTGTTAGAAAAAATTTTCACTGCACAAAGCGCCACTGCAAAGTTAAATGATCATGTCTTTTTCACATAGATTCATTATTTTTTTTTTAGTTTAAAACCTGTTATATGGCCTATATGCTCAAAGCATAGTCAATTTTAAAATGTAACACTTTTTAAGGTTATCACTAGCGTTCTATAGTAGTCAGATACTCATGGTACTATTCAAAAGCTGCTTGCACTTTGAACCAATTAGCATGGCATTTGCATAAGCATCGTTTCAGTATAAAAAGGAGAAACTGGACACATTTATTTGGCCCATAACAAATAGGCTAATTCCTTTTATATGTGATATATACTATACGAATTCGATTCCAAGTTATTCGACAAAATCACTATTCGCTTTGAACCTAAAATTTTCTATTCACAGAAGCTTACGAATTAGTATTACCTCCCACATTACAGCCCAATTTACCTGAAGAAGTGCAGTCTGTTTAGATGCAGCCACGTCCCAGACCTGGACGAGGCCCTTGTGGGTGCCAACAGCCACCAAATGGCCACGCTCGGCCCACGCAACCGAGGTCACCGAGTCACCTTCAGCAGACAGGTCGCACAGGCGTGTCACCTGGATCCACAGCGAAAAGCAGGGTACTGTTTCCAATGGTGTCAGAGCTGTGCGCAGCACACCAAGACCGAATCGATTGTGCTTCAAGAGCATTGTGGTCTAGTCATTGCAATAAAAGCTTAATAATTCAAATTTCCCAGGACTGAAAAAAAAAATGATCATTTACCACATGTTGAATTACTGAGAGTAATCTAGAAAACAATGAACAAATGTCTATTACCCCAATAAACTTCCATTTTCTTGCATCAACGTTCAAATTATGTTCTCATTTTTTATAAGAGCAGTGTAAAAGCCTCAGTGTTCGTCTTCGACGCAACAGTGGTGGAAGACCATCATGTCTCGACCAATGTGCAACATTCTATGCCCCCTTTTTTTATAAAGTACCAACAGTACCAACACCACCACACTGAAAATCATTTCTTTTTCGCCCATAAAATGGCCAGCAACTGATCATTTGCTCGTTCTAATGCAGCAAGAGAGTTTTATACCAGCATGCAAATCACTGCTGGAAGTTCTTCACCTTCCAGCCTTCGCCATATTCGAGTTTTGTGACAAAGCGCATGTCCGCAACGTATTGCATGATGCATCCACAGTGAACAAAACCCCAATCGCTAAAAACACGTCCACGCAGTTCCTATTATTGCGATCATAAATAGCACCAATGCAGTTCATGAGCACCAAGTAAAAACAAAAATAAAGCAAGTTTGCCACAGCCGCTGAAGCCATGGTCAGTAGAAATGTGAACGTGGATGGTGATCACATCTTCCTTGATGCCTGCAACCATCGCGGTGGTAAATGCAAACAGGCGCAAAGCGTTCTGGCTTTCATGCTGTTGTATGGTTCGCGCTGACGATGATGGCAACATAGACTGCGCTGCCTTGTTTCAGTTGTATGATAATTTCATTTTCACTTTCTTGCCTCGCACATTTGCAACGCTTTGCGTTAAGCAAGCTCAGAAGTTCAACCGAATCAATTGGGTTGTTGCCAAGTATAGCTGAATTTAAGACAGTTTGATGTAAATAAATAATGCACTTGTTTGCCAGGATCGGAAAACAAGTCCAAGTCCAAACGAACCTTTACAGCAGCAATGCACAGACCCTCATATTCATTAAATAATATGAGTAATATGAAGCCAAATCTTTTTAGTGTGACAAACAAGAAGCCAGATGTTCTTTCTGTATGCTTTTTGCTCTTTGCCATTGACTCAAGAGCAATATTTGCTGCAGTTATCAGCTCTATGACTGAAAGCTACCATATTACAGTAGAATCTCAACGATACGATTACGGTTGATGCGAATTTCACGATAACACGAATTTTAAGGTTACTTCAGATGGACTGCATTATATAAAATATGCCGTGATTAGGTGTTATACAAATGGTTTCTCTAGCCACCGCGGAATATACGAACACATGATTGAACACATGATGATGGTGCAACGCAGATTGTCTGTGGAAGGAAGGAAGGCCCGTTCACACTTGGGCTTGAAGAAAGTGAATGCGGCGAAACTCACGGGAATTTCCCTTACTTCCCAGCTTATATGGCTAAAAACCACGCCGTGAGGCTAACACGAAAAGATCGGCCAGAGGCCAATTTTTTCGCCGCACCATAGCAGATCAACTTTTCGCTTCAAGACTGTGGCTACACCGGCTGCACTATCTCTCAAACCACGTGATGTAAACAACCAGCCACAAATTCAAAATGGCGGCAAGGCCATCGGCAGTGGTAGAGGTGACTTCCGTCCGCGCAATTGCAAACTAGCCGCGCAGCACGACAAAGCTCACAGCTTCGACAAGGCTAAGACGGAGAGCCTGGTTTGGATTACGAACGCTGCCAACACCAAAAGTAGGAGAAGGTGCAGCAGCAGAGAGCAGGCATGACCTAACGCGTCTCGCTTTTGCGCTGCCGGCATAAGATGTGCCCTCAGTGGCCGCACATCTAAAATTGACACTGTAATCAAATCAAATTAAACTTTATTCCATCTCAGCAAGAAGAAAGAAGGTTGCGGGAATCGGCAGCCTTATTGCAACTTTACTAAGCTTGGCTTCCTGCGTTACATTTCCACAGTGTGCAGCACTGACTGTAGGCTGATGGCAATAACAATACAAGCCAAGGCACTTTGCTTAAGTATGGAAATAAGAGAAAGAGTAATACAATAGCGTAGACACACATGTAGTAAGCTGAGCCTTTTTTTTTTTTCATAAATTTAACACAATGCAATGCCACTGAATCAAAAGAATATACACAAAATTAATTTAGAAATAGTATTTGGCAATTAACAATTGCAACCAAATAATAGAAACAAATGCAATGACTTTCATGAATTCGAACTCCGTGTAAACAGGTAACCCAGGCACTGAGGCAGTGCGATGAAAAGCAGTAGTAAATAATATGCTTTTTGTTTGCAGGCTGATTGCCAAAATGATTTCAGGTATGAATAACTGTGTCCTACCTGCGACGTACAAGCACTCCACAGGTAGACACACGCTCCTAGCCCGACGCTGAGCACATTGGTTGACGACCAGTCCACCAGGTTCAGATAGAAGTCGTCCTGGAGTTCGGGTGCATCCAGTACCTGCAAGTACAGCATAGAAAGCACACGAAAGAACACAGCTGAAGTTAGGTTGTTTCATATGTACCAGGCTGCAAGCTGAGGCGATAGCTCATATGCAATCATCCCAAAGGAATAATAACTATTGAGGTTTTATGTGCCAAAACCAGTACAGTCGAACCCACTTATAACGATACCAGTTTCAACAATAATGCCGTTTATAACAACGAGGACCTGCTGCACTTCAGCTTTTGTATGTTTTCTAACTTCTACCTGCCACGAAGCAATGGAATTTGTAAATGTAACCCTAGATTATAACCTGTTTCAAGTTGTCAAGGAACCAACTCGTGGTACAAACATTTTAGACTTAATTTTAACTAACGCTCATGAGACTGTTAGTTCTATTCTGCACGTAGATGGTTTCAGTGACCATAAGCTACTTCAAATAACACTTAGCCTCCCAACCCACGTATTACATAGCACTGTTAAAAAAATTCGGGACTATAACAGAGGTAATTACGAAGGCATAAATGGTGAATTGGAAGCTTTTTACGATCAGGTTTTTCTTCCATCTTTCCCGTACCGATCAGTCAATGAAAACTGGATTCTCTTCAAAAACAAAATCATTACATTGGTTGATAAATATATTCCCCTAATTTCTATCTCTAACGACAATAAAAATCCCTGGTTTAACAAAACGCTAAAGTCTCATAGATCGAGGAAGAAGCGGCTCTACAAAATCGCAAAACGCACTTCGAGCCCTTCAGATTGGGAAAAGTACAAGGGTTCTTTGAAAGAGTACTGCTCTCTTGTAAGCAAAGCGAAATCTAAATATTTTACACACGATTTGCCTTCCATGTTAACTACTAATCCGAAAAAATTCTGGCAAGTAATTTCCCCTCACAATGCTACCACATCTGTCAGTATACAAGATGCTAACCATATGCCTCTATCAGATGTAGATAGCGCTTCAGTGTTGAACTCATTTTTTTCATCTGTGTTCACGTGTGAAGATCATTCCAGAGTGCCCGAAGTTCCCGAGTTGGATTATACATTCATGGCACCTATTGACATCAGCACTGAAGGGATTGCGAATCTTATTGGAAAACTTAAATTATCAACTTCTTCAGGCATTGATAACATTAATTCTAAGGTCCTCAAAAACACGTCATTATGCTCAAGTAAAATCCTGTACCGCATCTTCACGCAATCTTTATCAACAGGACAACTGCCGGCTGATTGGAAAATAGGTAAAGTTGTTCCCTTATTTAAAAGTGGCAATAGATACTCACCAGAAAATTATCGCCCCATATCATTAACATGCATTTGCTGCAAGATGCTTGAGCATATCATTTCTTCGCACATTTATTGTCATTTGGAAACCAATAACTTCTTTTTTGAGAATCAGCATGGATTTAGGCGAGGTTTTTCTTGCGACACCCAATTACTGGAATTTACCACTGATCTTCACTTCAATATGGATAATAATTTACAAACCGACTGCATTTTCCTAGATTTTTCTAAAGCATTCGACCGCGTACCTCATTCCCGTCTGATTTCAAAATTAACAGAACTTCGTTTAGATTCGCTAACCTTATCGTGGATCCGTAACTTTTTGTCATTTCGAAAGCAGTTCACTCTGGTTAATACCTCTTCCTCTCCAATTTCCGATGTCACCTCCGGAGTGCCTCAGGGTAGCGTCTTGGGGCCACTACTTTTTCTAATCTACATTAATGATCTTCCAACTAATATTTCTTCGTCAATACGGCTTTTTGCTGACGATTGCATTCTATACCGTTCTATAACTAGTACCGATGACCACCTTGCTCTCCAAAAAGACCTTAATCTCATTAACAACTGGTGTGGTGCATGGCAAATGACTTTAAATTTATCAAAATGTAATGTAATATCATTTAGTCGAAAAAAATTAACTGTTGAATTTGATTACACCATAAATAATTCCAACGTGTCACGGTCGTCTTCATATAAGTACCTCGGCGTTCATTTCACTTCTAATCTTACTTGGGCGACACATGTAACCTACATATCTGCAAACGCATCAAGAACATTGGGATACTTACGTCGAAACCTACGAAACGCGCCAAATAACGTCCGCAAACAAGCTTACTTAACCTTTGTTCGCCCACAGCTGGAATTTGCATCACCCATATGGTCCCCCTTCCAAGCCTATCTCATTAACCAGCTAGAAGCTGTGCAAAACAGGGCGGCACGGTTCATTTCACGTATTTACAGTCGCCCCTCGAGCGTCACACAAATAAAACATGACCTTTCATTACAGCATCTAGACATACGGCGCACAGTTGCCCTCCTGTCTTTGCTTCATAAATATATTCACGCGTCCAGGCCACCACCCTTCCCACTAACAGCACCATTGCGCATGTCTAAACGACTTCACAATCAGCGAAGCATCACACGCATCTTTGGAAAAACAAAATCATTCAATTTATCGGCTTTGCCTCGTGCCATAGCACTCTGGAATGACCTACCCGACGTCATTGTCAATTTAACTAATCATGAAAATTTTCGCGAGCAATTAATGATTCATCTATCTCAATAGCATTGTATAACCTCCTTGAATTCTGTTTTTGTTCTTTGTGCTTTTTTGCGGCTGGGAAATTCTTGTTGTTGCTTGAAGCCCCTCTTTGTCATTTGTGCAACCACTGTTATTAGTTCCAATGTTATTACTTGCTTTGTATTTTTATTAGTTATTAGTTATTAGTAGCTGTGTAGTTGCTTTGCTTTGTAGTTGCTTTGTATTGTGGCAGAAGTATCACCCACTAGCATTCTTTCCTATGTACCCCCCTTACTCTATGCTCCGTAATAGAGCCTGTAAGGTATTTTTTAAATAAATAAATAAATAAATAAATAAATATGATGACAATAACCTAATACGGGACAAGGAATTATGGCTGTTAAATGTCCTTACCCAAAGATAAGTGAACACAAAATCCTTGAAGTGAAAGTGAAAAATTTAGGAACCGGAGTTTTCAAACCGTGAAAGCATCAAAATTTTTTTTTTAAATCGGCACCTTTCTCATCCTTGTTACTAATGGCTTGGCATATTTCATCTGGGGCAGTATTTTGTAAGCGTCCTAGCAAAGAACAGGCAGGGATCGAAAAAAAGAAAAAGACGAGAGAAAGCTACACAGGATTGATTGAGGCTGTTCTGATGATCAAGATGTGAGAACAGCCTAAAAATTTGCATAGAACAGGCGGGAGGCATTAGAACAGACTAGACAATATTCTATCGATAGAATCAATACACAAAACAGCCTCCAGGCAACTTAGATTAGATCGAAATGCAAGCACTTCAGCCCGAAAAATCGAATAAGCCAGTTTTGCACCTCGCTTACCACAATCCCACACAGAAAATCACCACCAAACAACTAATCAAATTGCACCACCTAGCATCTAGTCAAAACATTAAACGAGCACTGACATCAAATTTCAAGATTGAGATGTGCCCATCATTCGATCACTTGGTATGCATAGGTCTTTGTGGCCAAACTTGAGTGGCGTCCATCGCGTTGAAGTTATTTCGACGTCAGCCTGTGAAGAACAGCCGCATTTACTCCCTTCACTTTGCGGCGAGCTGCTACAGGGTAAATCCTGTGTTGGCGAACCAGTTGGGTTTCATCTGCAGTACAAGGCCTCTTCTCGAGGCCGGGGCTATTCGTATCATGTGCCCTGCTGCTGCTGAAAGCAGTGCTTCACTCGCCAAACGTCCGTGACATGAGGTGCGTAGTTGGCGTTTCTGAGCTCTGACAGTACGGCCGGGACAGATAAATACATTGCATTTAACGCGGAGCTTGTCAAGCAAGGATCGTCGCGAATCATGGCGATACCCAATTCCAGGTCGCTGTCATCATCACTTGGCAATGTTGACCGCGACGACGGCGAGGACGACGTTCTTGGCGACAGAGGCATGTCAACGCCTTCAGATACACAGCTGGACTGACTGTACGTGCACTCCTTGCAGACGAAACGCCAGGGTGACGTCACCATTTTTTGTGTAAGTGGCATCAGCTGTGCAGTGGCCTCAACATGGCCGCAAGGTAGCACTGCCAGCACTACAATTTGGCTGGCTTTTCACCCATATTGAACCGCGTTCGATAGCGAATATATTAATCAATATTACGGATACTAATTCATTACTTAGATGCGTTTTAGGTCGCGAATGACTACTAGCGGTCGATGGCTACTCGTTGACGCAAGAATCTTGACAAGAGTAAATTTGGTGTCAGTGCTCCTTTAACACAAATTGCTAAGGTCATCATACTTTGCAATTTCAAGCTTCGAAAAACGACGCCAATACTGATGTTGAGCTGTACTAGTTCTATATTTCTTCATGTGTTAAAAGCACTTCTGAATTCCCTCAGCTCGCCTATTAACTGCTTGCTCCCTCTCGTCCTGTTGCTCGATCCCTCCCCAACTCCAGATCGAACCCTGACAAAATAGTCCACCTGGTATTATCGTTTGCTGAAAACAGTCTGCCATCTCCCTATTCCTCTTTTTTTTTTTCATATAACCAGTCTATAATAGAGGTTAGAGCAGCGAAATTTTCGTGGCACTTGAATATTGTTATAAGTCGATTCAACTGTATATAATTACGAGGCATACCGTGGTGGAGGGTTACAAAAATTTCCAACATTTCGAGCTCTTTCATTTTTCAACATTTTTCGAAACCTAATCACACAGGCCTCTAGCTTTTCCTCTCCATCAAAATTCATCCATCGCTACTGGGATCTAATTCCATGATCTGCAAATCAGCAGTCAAGCAATTTACTGACCACTACAGTCTAACCCTGCTACAACGAAACTGACGGTGCACGAAAAAAATTTCGTTGAAGCGAAAATTTCCTTGAAGTGAAATAAAAAAAATAAAGCTGAATACAAAAAATAAAAATGATAAAGCTTATCTGAGCTAGGAAAACAAAGGAATGTTTATTCTAAAAATTCTAAAAATTTCGGCTGCTTCCTATTCTTTCTCAGCAGCGTCACGACGTCATTCTCACCCATATATAGCGAGGCTGTGGTGAAAAGCACTCTGAAACATGCCTAAAACCGCCTTCATGAGCGAACCAAACAGTTACATTAACACATTAACACCAGTAGCTGTCTGCCATCAAAAGTATCCGACAACGCCGAGATGAACGTAGGGTATCGTGGAGCGGCAACTTCTGCATTATTCTATGCCGTTCTTATCATCAATCACTCGCGGCTAGCTGATTTTGTTGATAATGCGAACGAACAGCCGCTCTGGTTAGTTACCACACTGGCCAAGTGAGAACATAATGATAAGCATTGGAAAAGGCATCGTTCCCCGCTGTTGCACCCAGCAGCTGCGTGAAGGAAACCATGAACTGAGCGACTGAGCTTCAGCTTCGGATCGTCTGCGGCTAAAAATAAGCCAGTGGCAAAAGCAGGGCAGTCTCATTACCATTGCTATCGAGCGATGGTGGCGCCCATGCTTGTTGAACAACGGCGGTATAGCGGCAGTTTCTGGTGGTGCCAACGCATATTTTAGACTTCGTTGACGCATTTTCAGGCTCTGAAAATGCATCAAAATGTTAAAGATTGGGTTTACTGCATAGCAATAATTATCTGAGCCTGGAATTGCATCGTAAAATTTCGTTGAAGCGGAAATATAGAAGAAAAAGTGTTCGTTGTGGCGACAAAATTTATGCATTGACTCCTATAGATTGCTGATAGGGAATCGTAAATTTTTTGTTGTAGCGGAAATTTCGTTGAGGTGATATTCATTGTAGCGGAGTTCGACTGTACACCCATACGGTGGGTCTCATTGTTCAAAAGGAAGTACCAGCAGTTAACAATATAATCAAAAACAAACATTTATTGTAACCCTATTGGCTCTGATGAGCAAATAGTTCACACTTCAGAAGGACAAAGAGGATGCGATAGCAACTCACACTCAACGATAGTTATGCGCGAGAACAAAACGACGACACAGAGACAAGAAGGACACGAAAGACACGAGCGCTTTTGTCTTTCGTGTCCTTCTTGTCTCTGTGTCGTCATTTTGTTCTCGCGCTATAACTATCGTCATGCCATACCAACTAGCCCAAGCTGCCACACACTCAACGTTTTACTTATATTCATAGACAGCTGTCCTCACACAAAAAAGCATACAGCAAGGACATGGCGGCACAGATTAGTAAACCTGACAAGCAAAAGGGCACCTGGTACTAAGCCTGATGATTGAAGACACACATATCTAAGCCAGTCAGCACACATTTATTGTTGGTTATTCAAAGCAAGACAGTAGAACTGCTTGTCAATTTGCTTATATAGAAGGCTTGGCATGCAAGACACGAAGCCTAACAAAATAATAGAGATATCTAGACACGAACCCTAACAAAATAATGGAGATATTTCTATTCCTTTCCTTTTCACACTTCATCAGTGCTCTCAGAGAACAACAGTGCTACAACTAAGAAAGGGAAATTGCTACAACTGCAATCAGCTAATCACGAGTGGCAGTAATCATGAGAAGACAGATAATCACGAGAAGACAGATAATCATGAGAAGACATAATCACGAGAAAACATAATCACGAGAAGACATAATCACGAGAAGACATAATCACGAGAAGACATAATCACGAACGACAAGAAATACTAGTTTTTGGAAGATTGCGAGTCAAACAGGCTGTGCTAAGCCCTTCAACCATTCACTTTTCAAACGAGCTAATATTCAAATAATGTTCGATGTTCCAAGTAATGACTACAATCTGCTGAATTTCGGGATGTTAAATCCAACATATCCCAAAGTGCTGCGAACATCTGTTCTATACGCAATTGCACTTTCATTCTACCAAGGCACAAGTTTCCCGAAAGCTTCACCCTAAAACTGTGAAAATTGTGCCTTCTAAATGAACGTTATCTGTTCCTTTGGTGCAAGTCCTTCAATTTAGCAGCATGCTAGATAGTCCTTTTAACTAATGAAGAAAGTGACACAAAGGACACACCTTAAACGGTATCTTGGAGATCTTGCGTGCCTGCTTGCGAGGCGAGCTAAGCAGCTTGTGACTCTTGGCACTGACCGGAGAAAGGCTGTAGGGTGACCAGGGCTCGGACGGTCGTCCTGCCCCATAGCGAAAAAGATTGCCCGACGAGGGCGACTGCCCCTGCGACACACGGCGCTCCTCCGTCGGTTCCTGCGAGTGACCAATAGAATGAACGTTTCAGCAAGTTACGCTAATAGTGTAACGAAATGCACTATTAGCGTACAATACTGCTCTCTACTGCAGATCATACGATACTGCTCTGTTTCACACTTGCCTGCCACATTTCAGAAAACGTTTCAGCAATAGGAGTTGCTCGATTTGCATGGTAACACGATGATGATGATGATAGTGGCCTACTTGAGTTTTGCAGAGTAAGATCACTACCTGCCAATTAAAAGGTAGTCATTTTGCCTAATGTTTTAGACATTACAAAAGTTTAAAGCCACCTCGTTCGGAATTCGGACACCGCAAACGATTTGCACGGGCAGTGAACCAGGACACTTGCTTACATTATGCACCACAGCCAGACTGGAGGAGCGGCACGCACACACTCTATTACAACCTGCGCTTCATGTCTAGTTCCCACCTTTCACCGCCGGTAGTTCATGGCGCTGCGGCCCAACCCTCACCAGACCGGCTGTGCCCTCGCTACAGCCTCTTGCCCTGTTGAAGTAACAATATCTCCTCCGCGCGCGCGCTTCCTCCTCGATTCAAATCGAAACCCCCACGGCAAGCTTGGTCAGCTCGCTGGAGCAGAAGCGAGGAGTTGACTGAGAAAAAGGAGGAGGGAGAGGGTAGTAAGTTGGCTCAAGTGCCCCCACTAGGCAATCGCTGCAACGAGCTGTGAATAATATGCCCTATTGTTCCCTCTTTTGGTGCACAGGCTGTAAGAGAGTGCGCGTGTGCCCCTCCTCTAGTCCTGACATGTATGCGCTAGCCTGGTTACACAGTCAATCACCAGATGGCATCACCTGTTCAAGCTGCTCAAGTTTGTGGCTGCCGTGATTTGGTAAAGTGTTAGCATAACGAAGTTTGTGGACAAAAAAAAAACTACATTCTTATGGGAATTCTATGTTAATGAATAGTGAAGCTCAATGCGACCACAATAGGATTGGCAGAGTTCAAGACACATCAAGTACGAGTCACTTTTCACATGATTCGCTGCTGATCGTATACCAAAAAATTTCTGCACAGTAAAGTTTAACCGTGTGGACGCACCCTTCATTGTGCACAGTAAATCAGCACAGCTAAAAGATCCTAACGGGAGACAAAAGCTGAAGACTAGGGCGCCATAGGTGTAGTAACCCTCCGAGCGTCGAACATTTTTGAAAAAAGCTTTTGCAGATGACCGAATCACTTTATTGAGGTTTCTGAATGTACCGAATTAGTGAAGTTGGGAGAAAATTATGAAAACATTTCTGGAACAATACTTTTTGGTATCATCAACACTCTGAACTGCATTTTGTTCTCAATATTTCAGAAGGCGGTATTCCTTGAAACACGGGTTCGTGCAGAGCACCTTATTGCAGTCTGCACACACAAAATGAGTGTCCATTCCCTTGAATTGACAAGTTGTGTCGGCACACACGTGAGGCATCTTTTCTAAGTGCAACTGCCTTAGACAGAGTACACTGTAGTTAAGAAAAACTAAAATACCCCAAGACTGTCTGTGATAAACAAGCTTAGAGAAGCGCGAATAAATTTAAAACATAATGTCTTGCGTGCCTCTGCTGTGATCATGAGGCCAAAAAAAAAAAAAAGGCATTGCCCATTGGCAGCGGTGCCAACAACGCAATGCACTGACAATAGAAATCAGCTCTGTTTATCTCCGCAAGAAACTAGCAGAATCACTTCCAATGCTTTTTGTAAGTCCTAGGATGTTGCAGCACCTCCGAGTAAGCATGCATCGTCATTAGAGCGTGAAATTTCAGAGGTTCGAAAATATACTCGTACGACAAAAACACTGAGGTACAGACAACTTCCACCGTACATTTACAGCAAACACTCAGAGGGCTAGTGAAACCAAATAATGCCGTTTGCATGAAAGTAGCTTGATGCTATAAAACAAACCCATATATTTGAAAACCTGCAGGTGTCTTGATTCGTAACTCTACATCATAAGGCAAGAACAGCGCTGCCACCCCCCTCCCATCTCTTTCTGGTAGAGAACTATGTTTCAGATCCCTGACATTAACTTGTCGTTAGAAGATTGATTGGCTAGCAAGGCATATTCGGCTAAGTCGCGATGGCCATCATTCACTTAAAGGTACATGCAAGAAAAGAATATACTTAAGTTTACTGTTTCCAGAAGCCAAATAGCACAAGCAAGCAAATCCTCCTAAAACTGCCAAAATAGCCCAAATCCTATATTAAAACATATTCTGTGAATACTGCACAAGTACGTGTGCTTTTAATAAGGCCTTGCGAGACTGGGTGTCTGTCAACAAACATCAATCTGGACAATGAATAAATAGAGGCAGAGAGGCTTGGCACAAGCTACACAAATACTAAGACGTCATATATTAAGGAGAGGCAGAAAGCATGGCATTCCCCACAGACCTACAAGACATCCACGGTCACATTCTACCTCTGCAAATAATGCCCATCACTCAAATTACCACATTTTTCCTATTTCCTTTGGCAGCTCAATGATCTTTGCCACACACGCTGCTGCTGCCAAACATATCAACCCTTTTGCACTTCACTCACCTTGGCATCTTCGATGCCGGCTCCCAGTAGCTCATTCTTGATGAGGCAAGCATAGGCCAGGCTGTCCTTGGAGCCATCAGCGGTGTCCTTGGCCTTTGGCAGGACACTTCGCTGGGCATTGTCGGGGATTCTTGCTAGCCCCAACTGCCAGTTGGCTCCGGCCCGGCTTGGAATGAAACGGTCGCCCAACTGCACACACGATGAAACCAGCTTTCCACAAGAGGACATCACGCAAACCTACATTACTATATGTAACTGGATGCACAACTTCAGAGAGTCCACATAACTATAATTGAGTCTCACAATTCCTCGACCCTGTTAATAAAGCTGCTTTTATAATCCTGTCCCGGCCGCTCCTGTCGCATGTTAGTAACAGCAGTAAAAAGCAACAAACAAATCTACATTCTTCGATGCTCCGTAAGAATTAATGTATTTTGCGAACCTTCACGGTAGCTAACGCTGTATCACGACTAGCAAGAGGTATCAAAAAGCTAAATCAAAAAGCTGCATTTATTGCCATTCAAACAAAATCACGTCACGGGCGTTGCTCCTAACGCTCCCTTACCATGTCCCACACTGCAGTCGTAGGAAAACGAGACATAAGAGTGCCAAGCACTGTTTCAACAAACGCGGTCACGAGTTACCCGTCGATACTGGTGAAACGGCTTTCTTTCGGAAAGCAGTACAAACATATGGCTGTGTCAACAGGAACAGCTGATTGCAAGGCGGAGATGAGAGTGCGAAAGAAAGCACACACCGCAATAATTCTTTAACGAGACCCAGTCTGTCTCGAACTACCCGAAACTTGAAACGTTTACATTGGAAAAGTTTTAAAGGCTGCGTCACGGGTTGTCGGTAGGCATTACCGGGTGCTGAAGTGGTAACCAACACGTCTGAACATATCCGTGTACTCCACTCCTAGAATGACAACCTCAGGAACGACGCACTTCGTAAACCACACGTCTCAAGAATAGAAGCCAACAGAGCTACCTGCAGAGGCTGTGAGAGGAGTGGCGAAAGTGCACAGGAAAAAACCTTCTAGACTATTTGCTGTTTCTGAGTAATTTCTAGCGTTTCCCGTTTTACTTTCCTGTACTACCATCCTTCACAGGAGAGCATTCACAAGACAATGACATGTTACCTTTCGCACCTGCCGTTAGTAAAACAATAGGAAGGAGTCAAATGCGATGATTCAAACGCGTTGCGCACTCACTGGACTCGACGGCGATGTGTGACCGTTGCTACGTTGACCCTGAAGGCGCCGTTGGTAGTCGGGATCCATTGCTCAAGATCGCGCAGTCGCAACCTTTGAGGTGTTCATAACCACCGCACGATTCTTTGAGCAGCCGTCCCGACGAAAAGCGAACCGTTACAGTTCGAAACCGTTCCGACAGTGTTCAGTTTCACAGCAAGCTTTCCAACGGCCGCAGGATCGCCACACGCCCCTTCCAGTGCAGATTATGCAAAACCACTGGCAGGAGAGAAAACGTAGCTTCCAGTATTCCTCTAAATCTCTGGCGACGGTGCGTCGAAGCAGCACAAGTAAATAATAAAATAAAAAGAAATCCCGGAGACGCTGTGCACGCCGGATAGGGGCCTCTGGGTTCAAACCGACGGACGCTGTGAAGCAAGTTGGGCTTGGCTGGGATGCTTTGGCAACGTGAGTGATTTGTCCAGCAGGAATAGCTTACAAGAAGCGCTGTGCGCTTCCTTTTAAGTTATTCGCCACACAGACAAAGTTCCACTCACGGAACGGTGAACATGGCGGATGCCTTGCTCGCCAATAAAGGGCGAAGAGCTTTCGATTTCGGCCACGCCACTACCAGTGAACGGACAAAAACGCGGTTATGAAGCCAGTATGCAGCCAAGTCACGCCAAGTCAAGTGCGGAATACAAAGCGAGGGGAAATTTAAATGTGTAAAACGCATGCTAAATATTTATATCCCATTGTTTGATACCAAGGTATCGACAAACCTCCCTGCTTATTATTATCTTCGACATCGTATGAAATTATACGTGGCTTTGTAGGAGGACGAAAATGGAAAATACTGATTTATAAGATTCAGTTTGCGGTCACCGAAGGCTGCCAAGCCATCTTTACAACGTGGTCTTCCACCCTGGCAGATTGACTGCAGCCTTTCAACGTTGAATCCGTGATAAGCAAAATGGCTTGTAGACATTTAGTTGTTCAGCAATAAACCTTGGTAGTGCCATAAGCACCAAAATAGAAGTGCTGCATGGCTATTCTCGAGCCAGAAGCATGTGATTTCAATTTTCTGTGCTAATTTAAGTGGATCTTAGATAAGCACAGCGGCAATTAAACAATGAACCTAATTTCAAGGCAACGCTGCAGCTAAGTTAAACTCTCGACAAGCCGTTCCTTTGCGTGATAGTTGCAATACTTAGCTGAACACGACGGAATCGGGGGCGTAGAAAAAAAGTTTTCAATGAAAAAAAAAAGGTGTGGGGGATTCTGCCATTTTTAATGTATGTTCGTACGCGCGTTTTTATGTGTACTTGTATAGATACACATGATGAACTGAACATTTTCGGGAAAGGCATTATGCCCCCCTCCCCTCCCACAGGAATCAATATTGTGATAATTTTGTATTACTCGCGTGTTAATGAAAGCTTACATTTCCTTTAATTTTCGCTGTAGGAATCTCTCCTAATGCAAACATTGTGCCCAATAAGTGAACTGTAAGTGCGTGCGTCAGTATATATTGTTTGCGCCCAGCACCTCCACCAGTGTCGCAACGTGCAAAGAACAGGACACAAGGCTTCCTTTCGACGTTAACAGCAAGGCTCTATTCACACACAAAAACAAAGCGCAAGAACAGACGCGCAACGTCGTCTTGATGATGATGATGATGATGATGATGATGGCCTTTTGTGGATGGCGCTCACCCACAGAAGGGGACGGGCCAAGAACCGGGCGGCAGGGTACTTAAATGAAACTAAAATGAAAGTGAAGCCAATCTGAAAAAGTAGTTTAAAAATAATACAACCAAAAAAAATGTTTGCTGAGCAAGCGGTCAAGCCATCTGTTGTTTTTCATAGACATAACTACGTCGTCTTCCTCGAAAAACGCCAGAGACTGCCGCTCGTGATGCTGGCTTCTTCCTCCTTTTGTGTTTACGGCTAATAACCGTGACAATACTTTTTAACCTTTCTTGGCATTGGGAAATATATGTCATATGCATTGTTTTATTTCGTGAATGGCATCATTTCATGCCTGTGGCATTTTTACTCGTGTCTACCAATCGATGTGTATGTGCAGTCGGCCTAAAAAGTTTACGGACCACGCGAGTGCGTGGCCAAGAGCCTCTTCGTGGCGCTCCCGCAACTCAAACGGCTACCCGACAGCAGCGCTATGACCAAAACACATCGACTCGATCGCTGGATTCCGTGCCGACCGGTTGTGCCCTCGCGATCTCCGACGACACTGCAGCTCTGGCCGACTGGGTTGCTCCTACGCCACCTCCAGACCCCGGTCCCCTACGACGACGACAGCATAGCTCTGGCCGACTGGATTAGCCTTACGCCATCTGCTGACGCCGACAAGAACTCTCGCCAGTGGTGCTCCGTCCTCGGACTCCTGCAACCGTGTCTATCTTTCCTGTCTCCTCCTTACTTATGTCACTCCCTGCGCCTCTCTCTCTATCTTTCTACTTTTTAATCCTATCCTTTTATTCATTTCTCTACTCCCATCGCTCGTGAGCTACTGTTGAGGTGTCCTCCCCCTGACAGACAGTTAGGGGCTCACTTTTCTCTTCTTTTTATTTATAATCACTCCCCCCCCCCCTCAAAAAAACACACCCATTCGTTAGTGAATAGCCGGACTCGGGGGCGTAGGCAGAAATATTTTTCGGGGGGGGGGGGGGCAGCACTCATTGAAGTGGTCATTTTTCGCTCTGTATGCCATGGCGAAAAAAAATTGGGAAAGGGTGGGGGGAGGCACGGGCTCTGTGTGTGTCAATGTAACTGTTATCAATCGCAATCTTTCTCACACAATGATATTTACCCAACGGCACACCATTCCAATCTCGCTGTTGTAGCTTGCCTTGATTGTGCTATCAAAGTACAAGTCTGACGCATATCATATCGCAGACAAGCGCATTGCATGACAACAACGAACTAACAATGTGCAGCGCGGCTGCAGCAAATCGACAAGCGAGTGTTAGTACACTCTGTCCGGCCCAGCCTTGCGGTCGATGGGGGACGCGCATTGAGGCAAGTTTGATATTTAAAGGAGGCACTGTATGGCACGGCCTGACTAAACTAGAGTCACTGGACAATTTTTCAGTGATTTTAGGCACCCTATAGGGAGCTTGCATGAACGTTGGCGACGCTATAGACTCTGGGTAGGCAGCCATTTTTTCGTCAGAGGCAGCCGGAGAGTGCAGCGGCACCGTCGTGTTTGAGAGCGTTGGCGTAGCTTGTAGGCGTGATCGAGTGCGATCGTGAGGCAAATTTAACTCCAAAAAGTGTCGTGCACGATATCAGCCTCACCGCAACGCTGTGCCAGAAATACTTGATAAGACAGATGTTTGGGCTAGTTGGTGATTGGGAATCAACATATTCAATCAACAGCGCTCTGTCTGTCCTTGTCTCTTCTTTTGTAGTTACGCCGTAACTACTCGTAGTCTTGCGCTGTGCAAATACGTTGATTGCCAGAAAGACCTCGAGTGGTTCGAAGAAGAGACTACAATTTGCTCCGAGTGACCCAATCGCGCTTCGTGCAGGCGACTGAGTAAGCGACGTCTACTTGTTGCGGCGCGTCGACATTTATGAATTTTTCGTTCCGAGGACGAGTTGCTTGTCCCGGGAGCAGATCAAAGCGGGACAAGCCAAACCCGGGAGCAGATGAAGCCCAGAAAGACCCAAGGGTCACAAGTTCGTGTAGAGTAACCGTGTATGGGAGCCGTGGGTGAAGACGAAAGTCGCCGCCGATACCGTGGTCGTCGTCCTTCAAGTAAGACATGTTAAATTAAGGCAGCGCTCGTCTCGCGCACGAGCATACGTCGTATACTCCACGTAGAATAACTGCGCAGTGGGATGCGAGCCGACTTGGGTGTTTCCGGCCAAGCATGTGCAGTGCGCGGCAAGGACCTTGTCATCACTCTTGCCCATGAACAAGACGTCGAAGGGGGCTTGTTAACACGCTGGAAGTTTAACCTGAACAGAAACAAGCATTAGCATCTATACGGCAAAATCAAGGGATTTAACACCTTGAGTGACGACGATCGCGGTATCGGCGGCGAATTTCTTCATTCACGAATCCCAAAACCAGCCACTCGTCACAAAGTTGTGGCTTTCGATTGCCTCTCTCGACTTCAACAGCTCCCGGGTAAGCAAACTCGTCCCCGGAACGAGAAATTCACGAATATCGGAGCTGTCAAAGCGCGGCCACAAGTGCATGTCGCTCACACAGTCGCCCACGCGACTGGGCGTGACTGGGCCCACTCGGAGCAAATTCTCGTCTCTTCTTCGTACCGCTCGAGGTCTTCCCGGCACAGCATTGCGGCGTAGTCTTCTGGTTAGGCTGACATTGTGCACGACTCTTCTTGGAGTTGAATTTGCGTCGCACTCACACTCGATCACGCGCCTGCAAGCTACGCCAACACTCGAAAACACGAATGCGCTGCTGCAATTTCCGACCGCCTCTGACAAAAAAAAAAAAAAAAAGAAGGCTGCCTACTCAGAGTGCATATAGCGTCGCCGTCGTTCATGCAAGCTCCCTGTACCTTTCTCACCTTATGGACCTTTATAGAATCAATCTAAAACTTTTCTCAGTTGCGGTGACCTCCGGCCAAGCCTCTGGTTAAGCCTCGTAAAATAAATGAAAAACCATATTGCCACTGTTGCAAAGTACAATAAATGGGCATGACTCACTTGTTCACGAAGTATTCAGGCTTCCTCTTACAATCCATTCAATTACAACGTCCTGACCGTGCGTAGTATTCGTTGCAGCACGACAGGGGCAGCGCCAGCGGGGGCCAGAGCCCTCCCCCTCCTCTATATTCACGTTCCCCACATTCCCCCCCCCCCGCCCATGAGGGAACATAGTCATAACACAATGCCCAAGTGCTCCGCCTCCCTTTCTCTCCCCCTACCCGGTAAAAGAATTCTGGCGCCGCCCCTGGTTAGCGCGTGGCTTTGACGCGGCGCCGTGCCATCTCCCAGAGAAGAGGGGGAGCGCAGCCTTTAACAGTTCGTTTCATCGAAAAAAAAACAAAAAGATACACCACCAACTTGAAGACAGCTACGCGATTGTGAGTCACGATGATTTCCAGAGCCAGTCCAATGCGTTTGAACGCCAATGCATCAGCGATGTTTCCATCATCAGTGCCGTCTTCTTCACTTCGTGTCCTTTTCCTTAATTCGGCGACTTGAAAGTATATAGCACAAATGTCAGTCTACGCGATAGCGCTTTCGCGCCTTGCGCAGCACAGAGGAACGCGAAAGCGCCGCGCACGTGGCTACACTCTAATGTGGGAAGCACGAACACTAAAGGCAGCCATGTTGAAATATGCGGGGAGTCGACGCGTGTGAGGGAGGGCGCGCTCATCGACACCCCGCACGGAAACTAATGTCCCTAGATTTTTCCCTCGGGAAAAATCTAGGAACATTAGGGTTACTATAAAAGGAACTTAAGTACCTAGATTTTTCCCTCGGGAAAAATCTAGGTACTTAAGTGGTAACTATAGAAGTGTGGCAGCTTGGGCTAGTTCGTATTGCATGACGATAGTTATAGCGCGAGAAGAAAACGACGACACAGAGTGTCCTTCGTGTCCTTCTTGTCTCTGCG